CATCAGTGGGGAGTGTTAAAATCAGAGTGCCAAAAGCAAAGCCCATTTGTTGCTTGTCTTACAGAGTTGGTAGAGTTGATCCTGCCTTAGGGCAGGTGGATGGACTAGATCTGAGTGGTCTATTCAGGGCCTGTATCCATGCCTGGGACACTTCACTACCTTTTCCTCCAGGGAACAGCAGTAGGACAATTAAGGCAGCAGTGCACCACGTTTGAGTGCTGCCTACTGAATTTGCACAGGGTCAGTTGCTTGAACCCTTGACCTCTTGCTACTCATTCAGGTGGGCTCCCAGGAAGAGGGGCTGAGGAAGGGACCTTCCTTCTTCACACTGAAGAACCGTTTGCTGTTTTGTTTTTAAATAGCAAAAGCCAGCTGCTGGATACGGGGAAACAAGATGATTGAGTGATATCCGGAATATGATCAGCACCTTGTAAAGTAAAACTGGATTTCTGTCCTCAGTTGTTTTTTTGTCTGGCTCTGTATCTATCAGTTATCACTAGTACAGTCTTGGGCAGCAGCAAATTACCCTGCCAGCTGAATATGTTCAAGACTTCATACTCAAACCACTAGACAGGCACCTGAGGGATTTGGGTTTTCTTCTACTTTCTTGGTGGTTGTCATGTTAGAACTTGCATAAAATGCTCAAGTACATTTTTTTTCCGTGACTGTTTTTTGGGTTTCTAACTGGCAGCGCGTGCAAAACGCCCGATTTTTGTGCTTTACGCGTCGTCCCGCGCCGCAAGTTTGCGTGGGGAAAGCTCTGAGCTGCGGGTGTTTGTAGATCAGTGGCTGGCAGTGGGGGGTGGTCCCGGCCTGTTGGCCGGGTTTAGTTTGATATAACCTGAAAGTGAAAGCATCTGCTTTCCTACCAGTCTTTTATTCAAACAATAAATAAACTTGAAGCTACTAGGTTTCTCCAGAAGACAGCCAGCAGAGTGAACTTGCTGTAGATGGCTGAACACCTGAAAGCAAGCACCGCCTCTGGCTCTGATTTCACACTTCTGAGAGCTCGGTTCCTGTCATGAAATGGGTGGCCTGTCATAAACACTTATGCAATGTTTTGTTTGCAGGATGGAAGAGGAACTGGCAGCTCCTTCCACATCCACAGACAAGACAGACAGGTGAGATGGGAGTCAGAATTGCATTCTTCAGTAACTGACAAAATCTGGGGATTATTGAGTGAAACAAAAAGGTCACCCTTCAAATCAGTTGCTAAGCTTGAAGTTCAACAGATGTGGATGCTGTAGATGCTGAAAATGTGATCACCAGTGGTCTGCACAAATTACCCCAACAAAACTCTTTCAGGAGCTAATAAACACACAAATATTAGCTGTTGTTCATGAAGTTTTTGATCTGTGAGTTAGTGCTGGGGAAGCATCTGGGAGGTACAAGTATGTGACTAGCATGTAGTGGTACTCCTGTGGCTAGATCCTCTTGTCCTAGTCCAAGGTACTGGAATGGGAAGGACCTTCTAGAAATGGAGCTATGCAAGATGAACTGAAATGAAACGAGGGTTGAACGTATCATTCTTCTCATGCCTCATGGTGTGCTATGGGAAGTCATAACCTACATCTATTGCTTTTTTTGGCTTAACTATTATTAATACAGTAGTCCGTGTTGTATTGGTGTGCAACTCTTCAAGCATGTTCTTTAGCATTCTTTGTCATATCAGATTCTGATGCCTACTTCTTGTAGCAGTTAGTTAATTAATTAACCTGTCTGCCTTCAGTCATCAGAACTAAACATTGGTGCAGATTTAAACAAACAACACACCACCGCACACCCCCCCAGTAGTTCCAACCGGTTTAATGTATGTAACTTGCTCTTACACAAAGCTGACTAGGTTTTGAAAGCTGGAAGTGATTTTTTTTTTTTTTTTTTTTTTCCCCCCTCTCCAGTATGGATGTGGATGGAGAATCAAAGAAACTATTGGGTCTAGGACAGAAACACTTGGTAATGGGAAATATTCCGGCTGCTGTTAATGCATTCCAGGAAGCTGCAAGCTTACTGTGAGTACTAGACTGTTCTCTATATTTTTGTAGGGCTTGGGTTTCAGCTTGGCTACGCTGATGTGGCTTATACAAGAAAGATTGAGATTTTTACCTTACATATGCTGCTGTATTTATAATACAGTGGAGGAGAGGACGAGCTGTTTAAATGTAACCCAAGTGTTGGACAGTACTGTAGTTGGTGTGCAATTTAGGCAACTTTTATGATGGTAATTGTTGGTGCAATTCCCTAATGAGGAAAAGGAATTTGATGTTTTGCAGTGTGTGGTTCTGATGTCTGCTAATATGAAGTTAATGGGATGGTGTTACTTGCTAGTAACTTGTTTGCTAGTCTTGATCAGTCTCTGAGGATGATACCTCTTTGGGTTTTAGATTAATTTACTTTGCTAGATGCTTGAGAGCCATGTCTAGCTAAATGAGAGGAGTGTTCATGATTTGTTTGAAACAATGGGAGACGAGCTAAGAAAATGATTCTTCCTGTCTGGTAATCTTTAACTTTCAAGTTCATGTATCAAAAATCTAAAGTACGCACAGGTAAAATAATTCTTCATTACTATTGTAGGGGTAAAAAGTACGGTGAGACAGCGGATGAGTGTGCAGAAGCTTTTTTTTACTATGGAAAATCTCTCCTGGAGTTGGCAAGGTATGCTAACAGATTCAGAGTCTGCCGGGCATAACAGGATTTCATCCTCACATAGACAGAACATTTATACAGGGTTGCTTGGGGTGGGATGGGCATTGCAGCTTGTGCAGTTAAAATGGTGGTGTTATAAGAGCTAAGGGATAACAAACTTGTTCCCTTTAGAATGGAAAACGGTGTGCTGGGAAATGCCTTGGAAGGGGTGCAGGTTGAAGAGGAAGGAGAAAAAGCTGAAGGTGGTTCTGCGTTACCAACTGTTGATGGTATGTAAAGCTGTTGGCCATGTTGTGGAGGCACTGAGCTGTGTGTTCTTGTCTAAACGATCAAAGTTCAGTCCATCGGTATCTCAGGTAGCCTGAATCATTCTGCTGAAACTCTCAGCAGCCTGAATGGACTTGGATTTTTGTTCTTCTAATCTTGCTTAAAGATTGTACAAAAGCTCTAAAACTTCTGCAAGAAACCAGTCACTGAAAGCATGTGTAAAGTGTCACCAGGTCTCTGTGTCCTGAAACACTTCATTCAGACTTGCTTTATTAAGCTTCACAGTCAACTCGAACTGCCTTGTAATGGTACAGTGTATATAGTAGGACAGGTCAGAGTCTCTGTTAAAGTTCAAGAATAGTAACTATTTTGTACTACTTGCAGCTGGAGATAATACAGGAGTTCCTGTCAATCCAGACTATCAAAGCACTGGCACCTCTTGCTTAGCTGTGACTAAAAACGCTAGCGCGCAAAACTGCACACTGCTTGAGCGGCCGCTTGCTATAATGCAGTCTGGGGAAGGGGAAGGGATTTGCTTAGTTCAAGTTACTATGTTAGTTCCTTTACTTTGAAAGTGGAGATTTTAGGAATGTCATCTAATCTGATGGCAAACCAACACACTGGAGGGTCTGAGGGTGGTATTGTCAGTGCCCATTAATGTCTTTATCACTAAACTCGAAGAAATGTTTATGCTTCCTCAATCATGTAGAAGATGCAAGGGAGGAGTTGAGAGAACAGGTATATAACGCCATGGGGAAAAAAGAAGAGGCCAAAAAGTCTACAGAAGAGTCTCCAGTACTACCTGAGAAGGATATCAAAGAGGAGGATGCTGAAATGAGAGATATCTCAGAAGAAGCAATTGCTGACAAGGACATTAAGCTTGAAGAGGCTGAAGAGAAGATGGAGACTTCTGTGGAAAAAGAAGTAACTTCAGAAGAGCAGAAGCAGCTGGCAGCTGTGGAAAAGGAGACTACGAAAGAGGAGGTAGCTGTGGAAAAGAAGGTAGTGGAAAAAGAGCAGAAGGTGATGTCTGAAGTAGCAGAGTCAACTGAGAAGGAGAGAATGACAGAAGTGTCAGACAAGGAGGCAAAGGCAGCTGTGGAAGAAGCTGAAGCTGGAGAACTGGCTGTGGAAGAGAGGGGAGAGGTGGGAGAGCAGACAGCAGAAGCCACAGGAAAAGAACCAGCTGTGGAAAAGAGAGAGACTGTAGAAGGGCAGGCAGAGGCAGCTGTGGAAGAGAAGGCAGTAGCACAAGTGACAGCAGAAGTGCAGGCAGCAGTTGCTGTGGAGCAGAAAGAAGTTGCAGAAGGGGAAGCAAAGGCAGCTGAACAGAAGGTGGAGGAGAAACAAGAGCCAGTAGAGACAGCTATAGAAAAGAAACTGGATGAATCGAAAGAGACAGAGTCCTCAAAGGAACTTGTGCCCACAGAGGGCAAAGAGCTGTCTAATGACATGGAAGAAAAGGCTGAAGTAGCTGCTAAGGTAGAGAAAGAGGAAAAGAAAGATGACCTGATGGAAGAGGGTGAAGGTGCTAAGGTAGAAAAAGAAGAGAAAGATGACCTGATGGCAGAGGGAGAAGGTAACAGTGAGAGGAGAAAAGTACTTGTGGGTGAATGACTTGATGGATTTGGCTAACAATGGGTAAAAAGTGTTCCATTCAGAATTTTCTGTTTGCCTTAGAATAAGGAAAAGGCACAGTAAAGGGGCTCTTGAAGGATTTTACATCCAAGTAAAGTTTCAAGGAATAGTGAATAGTCTCAGTTTGTCTAGACTAACGCTTAACTAACTGCAAAGCAAATCCTACTTGAAAGCAAACTTAACAGCCCTGTGAAATGTGTGAGTAATGGCTAGGCTGGTGGAGAATACTGAATGGATGTTCACTTGCATGCATCTGGGTTTATTGCACTAACCTTCAAATAACTTGAAGCACAAGTTGCCTCTGGTTATAACCATATTTTATTTTAAAACAGTGGAGCAGAAAAATAAGAACAGCTGAATACATAACAAAATAGTAAATTTGCTTTTGGTGGGGGGAAGGAACTCTCCATTTGAGTCTTTCTGGTGGTAATTACAAGTGAGAGTTTGGTTGGCAAATCTAAACTTAATTTGCCCTGGAACCTGAAGGCTTATTGCTACTGTCTAGCACAGACTTCCTGCTATTTAGCTTTTTCTGCCATTCTGCTTCCCTGCTTCACTACAGCTGTGTTCAGGATTATGTTAAGGTAACCCAGTAAAACTTGTACACTTTGCTGAAGCATTACTTGCATGGCCTTAGTAGGCCAGTGCTTTCTACTGCACAAGTTAATTGATGAGCTGGTAATTGAAACTGCTTGTCAGTACATCAGCTTCACGGAAGACCCTTATTTTAGGAGTGGCACATATTCAGACTGAATAGTTCTGGACACTGAAAGGACTTGTACTGCTGAGCACAGTGAACGCTCAGTGGTGGAGCAGATGTCTAACAACATGTCTGTCTGGACAGAGTATGACTTGAGTGTAAGCTGAGAGTAGTTATCCACTCCTCATCCTGTGAAAAGCTGATTATGTGCACATACTGCTGCTTTTTTGTCCCCAACTCTGTTAGTGTGAGGACACTTCTTGAACATCCTGGTCTGGTGCTATGTTGTTCCAGAGTCCTCCCACTACTTAAATTTTAACTTCCTAATTAATATCTTTTCTGTTTTGCCTTTGATTGAGCTGTCCTCATACTTGCAGGTTTGGCCCTCTCAGTGGTAGGTGTGCCTTTTGGGAGTTAGCCTAATGAGCTCACAGGTTCTCTAGTCTCCACCCCATCAAGCTGGTGTTATTCTGCAATTAGTGGTCAAGTCACAGGAATGAAGTGTATGAGTTCAGCATGCAAGCCAACCAGTGCTCTGAAGTTATTAGCCATGCTCCTTCACTGCACATTTTCCCAGAATTGTTTTCTACTGGTAGAATAGATCATGCAACACAGTATCAGAAGTCAAATCGGTGCTACACAATAGCACATTCATTAATAATGTTGCCACTTAAATATCTGACATGAGGAACACAAATTCAGAAACAGTCTTTATTTGTACCCAGCTTGGCAGCTATCTTGCTGAAAACCTTTGTTATCTGTAGCATGAAGTCCAGCAACTGACCCGTACCTCCAGGGTGCTCAGGATCCCACGGCCTTGGTGTGAGTTCTCAGTGCTTTTGTGAGAACTGGATGCTCTCTTAAGTTTTTGTTATAGGTAGTTTGAAGTGAAACTTAAAACAAGGACTAAGGTAACTCGGAAGCACTTTAGTCTATGGTGCCTAATGCTTTCAGCAAGATGGCTGCTGCTGCTGAGTCTAATGTCTCTGTGCTCTTCTTGCATCACACATCTAACCTGTAACTGGAAGGATAGGGGCTGGATAAAATGCATTCTGCCTGACTCCATGTGAAGCAAGCGTAGTAACAAGTGTTCTCGTTCATCTACTTTCCTTATAGAAACAGAAGAATCTGAAGAGGAAGATAAAGAAAATGAGAAAGCTGAAGATGATAAAGAGAACGAATTGACAGTGGAAGACAAGGTGAGATGGCTGAGCTCTGATACTGGTGCTCATGGAAGAGAAATGTCATGTTAATGTTTTTATAAAAGCTCACTTGTATTTCATTTAGTTCTGTGTAGGAAATAACTTTTAAAAACCACTATTGCCTAAGGAAGGGGCAGTCTTATGTGTAGTCCACACTGTAGGATCTTGCTCGGCTCAGTCTGTAAACTTGGGCTTGTTGAGCTACGCCAAAACAAATGCTTGCAGTCTGTTGATGAGTAGTGCATCCTGGTCGGTGCAGGCAGGGATTGTTGCTTTAGCTTCTCACTAAAGTTAGTTACTTGTAACAGTTTATTCTCTGCTTGTTTTGTTGTCTCACTATGCTTGTTGAATACACCCAGTCCAGTAAGCCATGATTAGAATGGGAATATAGTGGGAAGTGTAGTCCTACTTAAATCTGAGGTGTTACATTGATATAGCAGTCAAAACACTTAGAAAAATCTGAAGCCTCTTAGAGTGTGTTGCTAATCATGTTAGACACCTGTCTTGTTCAAAAGCTCATTTGAAAAAAAAACAAAACCACATCAGCTCCTTTATTTAGCTTTCGGTTCATTTAAATATCACCTTTATCAAAAATGTTATTCTTGGGATAATGTTGGTGCTTGACACCCTGTTATTTCTAGGAAAAAAAATATTAAGGCCATATCAACTAACAATGTAAGCTTATCTTCCACCTAGAACATGATCACTGCAGGCAAAGCCTTGGTTGATGCAATAACCTCTTCTGCATGTTCTTCTCTTTTTTTGTTTTTTACCTTCTAGTGGTATACTGTTTCTCTCATGAAGAAATTAATTCTTTGATGGCACTGCTTAGAAACTTAGTGTTGTTTGATGTGATATGTAACCACTTAATCTTTAATGCATTTCTAGTCTTTACAGGAAAGTGAGGAGGATGAAATTGGAAATCTTGAGCTAGCCTGGGAGATGTTGGAGTTGGCAAAAATAATCTACAAGAGGTAAAGACTTTAAGTCCTCATTTGGATATGGGCTAGAGAAACTCATTGTAAATGGGGGGTGCGTGTGACATAAGCAGTTAGGGAATGTGTCATATTCAGGATTTGAAAACTACTTTTTTTTTTTTCTTAATTTAGACAAGAAACAAAAGAAGGTCAGCTCCATGCAGCTCAAGCTCATCTAAAGCTTGGAGAAGTTAGTATTGAATCTGGTAAGTAATATTAATTCTCATGTATTAAGGGTTTGGTTCCACTTTCTGTCACTTTTGTACTTAACAGCCTTAACTCTCCTCCGTTCATTTTAAGATGAAAACAAAATAATTTGTCTAATTGATAGTGCAGCCATGTGAGGAGCTTTGAAGTTGATGAACAATTTGAAGCCTTAAACAGAATAGTCCATGCTTTTCCAGAATGGTGAAAGAAAGCTTTGAGTAAGAAGCAGTGTGCCAATGAGAAATGACTTAAGACTTTCCACAATCCTAGGGTAGGGTCAGGGAAAACTCTTTTATGCAGCAAAAAAAAAAGGGAGTGGGAAGCAAGCCCCACCTTCATGCCTTGTAATGTGTTTTATCTATCCTTCATTTAAAAACATGTTTTAATCATGTTAAATCCAAGTAGAGTGTAATCTTTCTCTATGGCAAGCATTGGAAATAATCTGACAAGTTTCTGGATCAGAAATGGAGAGCTTTACTGCAGGGGTGCAGGCAACCCCTTAGTTCTAGATTCAAGTTGCAGTTGTGACCAGTTACATTCAGTTCATGGTAGGGGGTTAAATAGCAGGATATGTGTGCCTGGTTTTGGCTTGAAAGCCTAGTTTGTCTATTTACAGCAACACAGTAAAGAACTCTTTAGAGAACTAGAGGAACTGGACTCTTAAATCTGTGAGGGAGGAGGCAGCGTTGTCACTTGATGATCAGAACTGTATAAGGTCTAATAAAATACGGAGTAACTGAATAAGGGTTTAGATGTTGCTTGTTTGGATAAATGAGTGTAGTTTGTAAAGACTTTGCTTCTTTCTCCTATAGAAAACTACATGCAGGCTATAGAAGAGTTTCAGGCCTGCCTGGCCCTGCAGCAGAAGTACCTGGAGGCTCACGACCGCCTGCTCGCTGAGAGTCACTACCAGCTGGCACTGGCCTACCACTACAACAGCCAGTTCGATGAGGCGGTTTTGCAGTTTGGTAAATCTGTAGAAGTCATTGACAAGAGAATGGGTAAGTGGATTTCTAAAACTGCTTAGTGAATATGAGAGCTTTCACAAGTCAAATCAGACTTTTAACTGCCCTAGAAGTAGTTAGGTATGCTTATTCCTTGCTGTGCAAATGTTTGCTGGTCTGAAAGTGGTAACGGGCTATACACGATGATATCAGAGTTGTTGAAGCAGTGTGTGTTAAGATACCTCTGGATATTGATAACTGGGCAGCTTCTATATATTGAAGTTTTTTGCCATAATAACTGTTTCATCCTAGCGATGCTTACTGAGCGAATAAAGAAGGCAGAAAGTGGATCCCCTGAAGATGAGCAGGAGATTGAAGAACTGAAGGGACTGCTTCCTGAAATTAAAGAAAAGATAGAAGATTCGAAGGAGTCTCAAAAGAGCTCAAGAGTAGCTAAGCTGGCACTGAAAGCAACCCTGGTTAGTGCATCCTGTGGTTTTCTTCTAAGCAAACATTCTTCCAGTGAAACTTGGAGTAAACCAGTAACAGGGAGCTCAGGATTGATCGTGCAGTTTGGGGGCTGGTGGTTGCTCACAGGTGTTATGGGCTGTGATGGTGAAAAGGAAACTGAGGCAGCTGACATCTAAAGAGAATATTTACTAAATACACTGGCATCAGTTGTTTCAAACCAAACCGGAATTTAGGCTTCTATAGCAATTTAATGTGTCAGGGCTGGAAATGATATGTCAGGCAAATGTGAGAATGGACTGAGTGTGTCATCTGTCCCATGTGTAAGTGAAGAATGGAGAGCTGAGACGTGAAGGAGTTGGGTTTTCTGTCCTTTTCTAAACTAGCATATGTGGTTCTGCTGGAAATTAATTCTTCACTGTTTCTTCTGGTTTTCTTAAGGTTGGAACTACATCTGGCTTTGCACAAAGTGAAGACAGTGGTTCTGTTTCCACAGTAAGTTAATTTAAGATGGACGATGTTAATTCCTGTCAGCTCTAAGGATTACTGTTTGCTGTTACTCATGTGCCAGTGTCTGTCTTGTCATAGATTCCAGTAAGAAAAGCAGCTGATGGTGCATCTCAGTGTGTTACAGACATCTCTCACCTAGTCAGGAAAAAGGTGAGTCCAGAAATGACTAGTTGAACAGTTTGTTAAAGTACTGTTGGCTTGCTCTGCATAATTGGATTTCTAAAGCTTTTTTTTCTTTTAAAGCTTAATTCTGTAATGGAAAAACCACTCTAAAAGTAAAACCAGAAACAGTGCATGAAACTCCTTTCCACTGGGAACCAATGAGTCTGGGAACCATCCAGCCTTGAGGAGACTGCTGCTGGTGGTTGAGCACCCTGCCTGACCCACGCTGGCTTAACTTCAGAGCCGAGTTGTGTGGCTCTGCAGGTGTTCTCTGAACAAGTGCCCTCCTCTCCTGCAGACCTGCAAGAAGAGCAGGGTGGCCTTACAGATCTTAAGAAGAGGGCAAGCAACCAGGCTGAGTTGGGTTCCCTTCTTTCCAAGTGGAAATAGAGAGTTGGACTTAATAAACAGCAAAACCAGTCTAATGGTAGTAATGATAGACTGCCTCATAGAGGTAATATATTGAGTGCTTAGGTTCCTTTAAAGGTTTATGTTTTTTCTAGAACTGTTTGCTAATATAACTAAAATTATCCCCTATAGGATCTTAGTTTTTATTTTGTATGCTGCTGTGGCACAGCCTGGCCTGTGTTATATTGGCCTCTTTCAGTTCAGGTTTGTCTGGAGCAACTTTGATCTGCTTTACACAGGTGATTGTAAGTGCCACAGATGCCCTCAATCTACCCACGTAACTGTTACCTGGCTCAGCAGTTGCATGTTTCCTTGCCAAACTACAACTAAGGATAATTCAGCACTATAGATACTAGCACCTAAATAATGTCTTACTGGAAATCCTTTGTGGTCGAGACCTCTGTACCAAAGCTTCAGAGCTTTGGTTAAGTCTTAACACTTAAATATCTGTCCTGAACCTGGCAAGTAGAGGTTGAATAGATAATGTGCAATGACATCTAGATGCTAACTTTCTAAAAAATATTTAAACTTTAATTTGTACGTAGTGAAGACTATATACAATTTTGTCTTCAGAGGAAACCAGAGGAGGAGATTCCACAGGGGGACAATGAAGCTAAGAAATCTAAACCAGAACCGGCTGTCAATGGTGGTGGTGCTGATGCTGCCCCCAGTGGAAATGAGGTTGCAGAAAAAATGGAAGAGGAGGTGGGCAGCTGAGGCAGGAGTCTGTGCCATGCCTTTTTTCTTTTTTTTTTTTTATTTTTTTCCCCCCTGCTCCCCTCTGGACCTGGTTTTGTGCCCGGTAGCTGTACTGGTTTTACTGCCTGCTGGTCTCCACAAGGTGCCCCGGATGAGATGGGGAATATTCCCCCTCTGGCAGGATGCATGTTGTGTCTGACACTGGGCTGGGAAGTCACCAGCTGTGGAGATGTGGACCCGTGGGGTGGGACAGAAACATGTTCTGAGTGTTGGAGTTGGGCTGAACTACAGCACAGGGCCTTTCCCCAAGGTATTTTTTTCAGTACTTCTGGGTTTTAATACTTAACACCTGGGCTGCAGTTGTTAACATCAGTATTTTAGAACAGTGCTGCGCTCTGAAGACCAGTAAAGCATGTGAGTAGTCAGTTAAATCTTCAAATGACAGAAACCTTGAACTGCTGCATGAATTGGTGCTGTAAGGCAGTGTCTTGTTCTTTAAAAACAAAACCTTTTCTTTTCTTTTAGACAGAGAAAAGGCCACAAGCAGAATCAGGGGCTGCAGTTGAAAGCACAGTATGATAATTCTTTAACCTTGGACACTCCTCTCCTTACAAGGAAAATGGTTTTGTATATAGTGTATTTTTTCACTTTTTGGCAACTTTTGTATGACTTCAATAAAGATTGTAAGCAAATGGTCCTTGTTTTGACCTCCTCCTGTTACAAGCTGCAGCCTTTGCTGCCCCCGGCCCCTGGGGGGTGCAGGTCTCTGCACTGGCTCTCCAGTGGCCTCCCTGTCCCTGTAGCCTCAGCCTTTCCATCCAGAACAGCCCGAGGGGTCTGTGCAGGGGGAGGTAGGGCTGGCTGCTGCTGGGAGGGTGTCATAAATGGAATCTACTCTAGTGGTGTCTAGGGGAAGTCAAAGTAAGACCTTTTTGCCTTTGGCTGGGGCAGGGGCTAGAGCACAAGCTCTGGCTGTGTTTGTTTTTTCTAGGCTGAGCCTGGTGCGGGGTCCTGTGGTGACTCCCTCAGCCTGGAGCTGGGGAAGGCTGCTCAGAGCTTGGCTCGCCCCTGCACCCTTTGTTGCTGCATCACTGGCTCTGCTCTCCCTCTCCTTTATCCCTGTGTTGGGGTGGGAGGGGGTGTGGTGGCTCCTCAGTGACAGGGCCAGGCCCCCTGTCCCTGGGGGATACGTGTGTGTGTGAAAAGACAGAAGTAAAAAGTGAGAGGCTGAAGCAGTTTATTAAGCCTGTAGCATGTGACCCACCACCAGGCAGGAGAGGGCTCGGGGCTGGGCTGTGGTGGCCTTGTGTCATGCTGCCCCGAGAAAGGGCTTGTGGTGGGGCTGTGCCTGAGGGAGGAGTGAGCTGTAGCAAAAGGGGGAAAAAAGGGTGGTGCCCCCCTGAGACCGCTCTGGGGCACAGGATGGAACCTTCATGTGGGCACTGTTGTGGGGCAGAGTCTGAGCCATGGGGCTGCTGGCTCGGGGCTGTGCCTGACACTGCCTGTCCCTCTCCCTGCTGGCTCTTGCTGCTGACAAAATGCCCAGAGCCTCTCTAGTCCTAGACTGCGGGGCCTCAGTTTTAATGATAGAGCCTGTCCCAAGCCCCCCTCCCTGCAGCTGTAATGCAGATTTTGCCACCCCTTCCCCTCACATAGTTCATAAAGCTGTGAGTCTCTGTTCTAGCTGGGTGGGGGGGTGCTGGGGGAACATGGTCCCCTCCCAGCTCACCTTCGAGGAGGTTTGTGCTGGGCTGGGGTGTCCCGAGCGGGAGGAGGGTCCTCCAGGGCTATGAAGGGGGCAAGGGAGAGGCTGGTGGGAACAAGGGGGTGGCTGAGGGCTGTGGCGGTGCCTGTCCCCAGTGCTGGCCCAGGGGCCTCCTGGAAAGGAGAAAAGTGGCGTTAATGGGGGGTCCTGGCAGGAGCTGCCCAGCCACCCCACGGCACACGGCCGTGGGTGCAGAGCACTTCATGGCTGTGGTTTGGCACTGGGAGGGGGCACACCTCCCGCTCTGTGGGGCACCCCTGTCCTCGGCTGCAGCCGGGAAAGTGGTTCCCAAATCATCTCCCCAAGCTCATACCTCCAACCCATCCTGTCCAACCCCATCTCCCCACTCCGGGGAGCTGGAAACAGCCCTGGGAGGAGGCTCTTACCGTAAAAAGCTCTGGCACCGGCAGGGCTGGCAGGAGCTGGGGGGCCGCGGGGGGTGGAAGGATGGTTTGGGGCAGGCGTGGCCCTGTCTGCTCCACGTGGCGTCGCAGCATCCCCACCTCTGCCTGGAGCTGGGCCAGCTCCTCCATGTGCCACTGGGCTGCCCGGGAGCCTGCGGGACGGCAGCTCCTCACTGCAGAGTTTACACTCCCCCCAGCACCCCCCCAGTAACTCCTGGCACCCCACGGGGCTGGTGTGCAGGGTTGCTGGGGGTCCCATTCGTGCTGCTGCTGTGACTCTCCCCTCCTTGTTCCCCTCCCAAATGTCTGATGGGATGTTGTCCCCCAGCTCAGTGCTGTCACTATGCAAGGCCCCTGCCAAGTGCCGCCCAGGGGCTCTGGCAGCCGCAACTGGGGGCTGTGGGGTACAGGTGGGGGCCGCCCCAGTCCTGGGACCTGTCACCTACCGGCATTGGCTCGTCTCTCCCTCCTGGCCTTCAGCGCCAAGAGTTTGTCTTCCAGCTGCTGGTTCTCCACCTCCACGGCCAGCAGGGCCGCATCCAGGCCCTGTGCGCCAGCGCCAGGGGGCTCTGCCCGCACAGCCGGGGCTGCCTCAGTTGCCCCCTGTGCAGACAGGGTCCCTGCTGGGGCTGGGCTGGGGTTGGGGCTTACCCATCCTCCTGCCCCCGCGCAGCCCTGTGGGCCCTTTCTCCAGCGCCGTGGCCTCCACCTGGAGCTGGAGGAGCTGGTCCAGGATGTCTGGGTTGTGCCCTCCGGCGTGCAGGTAGGCCAGTCGCAGTGCCCTGCCGCAGCCCCGGCATCAGCCATGGCGGGGGCTCGGCAGACGCTTGGCTCGGCTCTGCCATCACCCACAGACCCTCACCTGGCCTCGGCGGCGAGCGGCCCGGCGGCTGGCAGGAGCGTGTCGAGGTGGAGGGCAGCCCTGGGAGGAAATGGAAATGGAGGGATGTGATGAAAACGAGGGGCTGATGGCCCCTTGGATGAGAGTCCCCCACGCCTGGGTGCTGCCCCGGAGGGGTGCAGAGCCCTGTCCCCGGGCCGGGGCTCACCCTCCGTGTGGCAGCCATCTGCCCTGATCCTGCAGCACCTCTGGGGCCCGTCTGCCCTGATCCTGCAGCACCTCTGGGGCCTGGCTCTGCTCTGGCTCCCCCTGCTCAGGGCGGGGGGTTGCACCCGCTCCAGTCCTCAGCGCCGCCAGCCGCCGGCACAGACCTGTGGGATGGCAGAGGGGCCGCAGGGGTGGCTCAGCACGACCCCCACAGCCCTGCTCCCTGGGGGCTACCGCATCCCACAGATGCCTCCCCATCACCCATCACCCTGCCAGCACCTACCCTCTCTCTGCTGCTCCAGCTGCCGGGTCCTGGCCCGGATTTCAGCCATGTGGTGCTCGTGGGCCTCCAGCAGCTCCTGTGGCTGCTGCCCGTGCCCCCGCGGTGGGGCTGCCCGCCGGCTGGGCTCTCCCTGCTGCACAGGGAATTGCAAAGGGCTCGAGGGGCTGGAGCCCCAGCCGTCACGGGGCTGGGGTGCGGGGAGCCGTTGGGGTGCCGGGTTTGCCGTACCTGCACTGCCAGCCGCCTGGAAGCGGGGTCAGCCGCGCGGAGCAGGGCCCTCTCGCGGGGGGTGAGCACGGCCCCCAGGGGAGCCCCCCGCGCTCGCCCCGACCCCCGCTGTCCCTGCACGGCCCGTGGGAGCCCGGGAAGCACGAGGAGATGGTGTGGCTCAGCGCGGGCCCCGTGCCGGGACATCCCGACCTCGCAGAGGAAAACAGGAAGAAAAGGTCGGGGGGGAAATGCTTAACAACGTGAACTATTCTGGCTTTGGCCAAATGACCACCGAGGGGCGGAAGGCTGGAGGGTGCCCCTGGTTCAGGCTGGGCCAGATCCAGCCACAGTGGCTGTGACACTGCATTTCCTCACCTGCAGCACGTCCCAGCCCAGCACCCATCCCTCTCCCCAGCCCCACACCCCCGTGCCAGACCTTGCGCCACACTACCGGGGTGTCCTGCGGCCTCCCCGCCGTGCCCAGAGTCCCCTCCGCAGGTGGCGGGTCCCCCCCGGGGAGGCAGGAGCTGCTGGCGGCCGGGGTCCCGAGGCACAGCTTCTCCTCATGCGCCCGCAGCAGCGGCCGGGAGCTGAAAACCATCCGGCAGCGGGGGCAGATGAAGCCTCCCACGGCCGGCATGGGGCACCCTGGGAAGCACCGCGGGGTTGGGGGTCACCTGGGGGTGCCACCCTGCCGGGGCAGAGGGGTCATCCCTCCGGGACGCGGGCACCGACCTGCTCGGCAGCGGCCGCGGTGTTTGAAGCCACCGTTGCTATGCGGGGACGGGCGAGGGAGGCGGCCGCGCCCCTGGCCCTGGCCGTTCCCACTGTTTACCACAGGCACTGGAAAGGGGGGAAAAAAAGTGTCACCTGGCCACCTGAGCGATCCACAGAAACCGAGATGGGGGAGGCCCTGCCAGCAGCCACGCACAGCGAGTCTGCCCTGTCCCCCCCAGAGCTCCCCTTTGGTGGTTACACAGCACTCGCTGCCAGCCCCGGGGGTGCCCCGGCAGGGCCCCTTTTCCTCCCTGGAGCAGGTCACAGCTGTGCATCACCGCTGCTGAGCAACCTCCCCCCCGAGGTGGAACCGCTCCTTCGCCCCCTGCCCCCGTCTCAGTGCCACAGATGGCCAGGGGCCCACCCGCGTTCCCCAACGAGCCCCCTCCTTCCCTCCTGGCCCCTCTCCGCTTGCAGACAGCCACAGGCTCTTCTCAGGGAGCCCTACGCCCCCCTCCCACTTCGCCACTAGCAACACCCGTCACAGAAACCAGGCGATTTGCTCAGGAAAAAGCTGCCGTTTGATTGAGGGGGCTTTGCTCAGTCCGGCAGGCAGTAACGCTTTAAAAGCTCCACCGGTGTTTAAACCGCGCACACCCCGTGGTGGAAGCTGAAGTCTGACGTGAAACACCCCGAGCTCTGGGTACACGCAGCTCCTGCTCTGCTGGCCCCCAGCAGCAGGTTCTCACTTTCGCCAGGAACGGCGCAGCTATCTACTTTGCCCAGTACAAGTGGCTTCCAGCACAGACTTTTTTAAATCTACCCCATTTCTTGACAACGATGACAATACATTTATCTGATTTTTCACTTAAATGGATGTAGGAAGTTATATTTTTTTTAAAATGGATAAACTTTTCCAAACAAAAGCCACGTGTGGTGGCACCAGAGTCGAAGTACCTTCAGAAGGAAGCAGAGGATCTGTGGTCTTAGAGCAGCCCAAGCACCTCCCCGAGCATTCCCAGCGAGTGGAGCGAGGCTGCGAGGGCAGGGATGAAGGAACAGCCCTCGGCCGCTCGCTCCGGGGCGGTAAGGGCAGTACCAGCAGCCCGAGCCAGCGGGAACTAAAGGCACAAATAGCAGAGTTACACCTGGTGTCACTGAGCATGTTCCCTCGAGCCCAGGTGCAAAGATTCACAGCTAAACACGACAATTTTATTACACATCTGCCCTCTCTGCCTGGCCAGGAACAGATTTAAAAGACTGAA